CAGTGGGTACTGGCAAGTACCGATGGATCCAGAAAGTAAAATACAGACTGCCTTTGTCACTCACTGTGGCTTTTATCATTTCAATGTCATTCCCTTTGGTCTAAAGAATGCTCCTGCCACCTTCCAAAGGCTAATGGAGAAAGTCTTAGATGGCCTGCGGGGAGTAATCTGCCTGGTCTATCTTGATGACATAATAGTTTATTCATCATCTGTGACTCAGCATTTTGAGCGCCTGCAGACTGTAATGGAGCGACTTCACAAAGCCAATCTGACAGTCAACCTAAAAAAGTCCAGATTCTGTATGAAATAAATCAGATTTCTTGGCGATATTGTCTCTGGAGAAGGAGTCAGTGCGGATCCTGACAAAGTCCAAGCAATAAGATCCTACCCTGCACCAACTAATCTCAAGGAAGTACAGAGGTTCTTGGGACTAGCAGGCTGGTATCATAAATGTGTACCCGACTTCTCAAAAATTGCTCAGCCTCTGAACGACCTGAAAAAAAAGAGAGACCTTTCATCTGGAATCAAGCATGCCAGCATTCCTTTGATCAACTGAAGTCCAGTTTGATCTCTCCGCCTATCTTGGGTCACCCAAATCCAGATTGTCCTTTCTTTGTCTATACAGACGCAAGTGGTATAGGTCTTGGAGCGGTGTTGACTCAGAAAACGGAAACTGGGACAGAAATAGTTCTCGCCTATGCCAGCAGAACCCTAAACAGAGCTGAAAGGAACTACTCTGTCACAGAGAGGGAGTGCCTTGCAATAATTTGGGCTTTGGAGAGATGGCAACATTACCTGGAGCTAAAGCTATTTACAGTCATTACAGATCATTCTGCTTTGAAATGGGTTCTGTCATCAACCAAAACCTCCAGCTGCCTCATCAGATGGGCACTAAGATTGCAAAGGTTTGACTTTGTCGTGGAATACCGAAAAGTTTAACTAAATTGTGCCCCTGATGCCCTTTCAAGGATTTCCCCTAACTCTGGGTGTTGTCTCTTCTCCAACAAAACGCCGGGTTACGTATTGTAACCCTTGTTATATTAACACAGGCGGAGCCCTCTACTGGACTCTATGGGTACTACCTTATCATGCAAGTATTCACCTACTGAGATTTCTATAGACGTAGCCGGCCCCGGGGCGGGCCTACCTGAATGCGTGCGCATCTCACTTCCGTGGTCAGGAGGCCTCGCCTCCTGACCACCATCCTTTACTCTTCAGCGAGCGGAGGTGATAGCCTAGCACTGAGTCCGAGACGTATTTTTTGAGGGAAAGGAAGAAAGAGAAAGAAAGATAGCGGGCGCTGATCCCCACCACCTCTGCTTCGAGTGTTTGGGGGACCAGGATATGGCCGAGGCGGTGCCATTCCTTCCGAGTCCGGCGTCCATGGAAGTCCACCGCCCAGGGCTGTACTCTCCCTGGATGATGATCATGGTGGCGGGTGTGTGGGCTACTCGCTCATTTCTAGAGATGCCCCCGCCTCACCAGGTCAGAGCGATTATTGGGCCGCAAGGCAGAATAAGTAGATTGGTCCACGAGCCTTGCCCGAGGCCCGGTTCCCCCGGGGACCGGTGCTCGGTGGCTTCACATGATATAGGGTCGACCCTACTTCATCACAGCCCGCCTTTTATTGTGGCCAGCCTAAGGCACACCTGTGCAATAATCATGCTGTCTAATCAGCATCTTGATATGCCACACCTGTGAGGTGGGATGGATTATCTCGGCAAAGGAGAAGTGCTCACTATCACAGATTTTTTCAGATTTGTGAACAATATTTGAGAGAAATGGTTATTTTGTGTATATAGAAAATGTTTTAGATCTTTGAGTTCATCTCATGAAAAATGGGAGCAAAAACAAAAGTGTTGCATTTATATTTTTGTTCAGTGTATATGTATATATATATATATATATATATATATATATATATATACAGGGTTGGGTTGTAACGGAATACATGTAACAGCGTTACGTAATCAGAATACAAAAATCAAGTAACTGTATTCAGCTTGCGTTACATTTGAAAAACGAGTAATCTGATTACAGTTACTTTCGTAAACCTGAAGTGAATACATTTTGGATTACTTATTGGAATTATTGGTGGAAAGATTTCCTCTCAACATTTAATATTCATTACTAAAGGTACAGCCGAATCATCACAGCGCACAGAAACTATTACCGCCGCAGATGGACCAAAAAAGGGCGCGTTTGGAAAAAATGTGCGGGTCCGCTCAGTGAAACGATAACAACGAAACATGGAGGAACAAAAGTCTGCGTTTAAGTCGTGTGTGTGTAGAGGTGTGTGTGGGTGTGTGTAGAGGTGTGTGTGGTTAAAACACATCAGCCTGCGGTCGCTCTTTAGCCTTTCTAATGATTCTGAAGGTAAACACAGTGAAGGCGGTGCGTGAAAGGCACTGCACGCTCCTCTTCTCAGAGGCTGAGTTAACCCTCCCGCTGCCTCCTGGTGCTGCAGAGATTTCATGAAGTGAAGGAAGTGTTCCTTCTA